TCCTCCTCCTCCTCAGCAACAGCAGCAGCAGCAGCAGCAGCATCAGCACATCATCATCATCATCATCATCATCATCATCATATCATCATCATCATCATCATAATCATCATCATCATCATCATCATCACCACCACCACCACCACCATCATCATCATCATCAGCATCATCATCATCATTATCATCAGCAGCATCATCATCATCATCGTCATCATCGTCATCATCATCATCAGCATCATCGTCCTCATCCTCATCCTCATCCTCATCCTCATCATGATCCTCATCATCCTCATCATCATCGTCATCATCCCCCTCCTCCGTTGCCTCTCTCTCCTCCTCCTCATCATCATCCTCCTCTTCCTACTCTTCCTCCTCCTCCTCCTTGTCCTCGTCCTCGTTCATCCCTTTCCTCCTCCTCCTCCTCTTCCTATTATTCCTCCTCCTCTTCCCATTGCTCCTCCCTCATTGTTCATTACCGTTTCTACCCTTACTCGTTCCTCCCTGTCGTCTTCGTCAACCTCCTCCTCCTCCTTCTCCTCCTGCTCCTCCTCCTCTTATTCCTCCTCCTCGTCCTCTTCTTCCTCCTCCTCCTCCTCCTCATCCGCTTCTTCTTCCTCCTCTTCACGGGTTTTGACCGAGCGAGATTATGCCAGCTTAAGCCACGGGGGCCTGCCATTCAAGCGATACTGGCGATACCGCACCCATCCTTCCCTACAGCAGTAAGAACACAACGACGCAGGACTGAGCAGCCTTACTGAGACTCCGATGTGGTCCCGAAGCGGTCCCTGACACCCATGGCCACATTCGTCAAGTTGTTCAAGGTTCGCAATGTACAGTTGGCGTCGGACAGATAGCGTGCAGTATCGGCATCCGAGAAGAAGGCCATCCCTGCGAGGCGATCCCCCCGCGAAGGCCCCTTCTGTGCACGCTGGCCCCCCTGCCAGGGCTTCTCCTTTGCACGCTGTCCCCAAGGGTGGGGGTAGCGTGTAATGAACGGGGCCGGGGCGCCACATCGCACGCTATCCTTCACATGCTCACCATACCTAGGAGACGAACCAACGGCATTCCTTGGATCTGCGCTGGACCCCCCTCCCTGGCGTGCGGAGCGCACCAGGGGCGGCGCGGGAAGCGCCGCCGGCACCGCCGAGGGGGCCTGGCGCGGATCCAAGAGATCCGCGCGGAGCGCCAACAGTTCATGTTTATGGCGCTTCTTCTTTTTATGATTCGTCTTCTTCTTCTTCTTCGAACATCGCACGCTGGCCTTCGAACGCTCACCGCTCCATCGTCGACGTTGAATCTGACCTCCCAAGGGCGTCACCCCGAGGAGACACGGAGGCGCTGCGAGCGGCGCGCGGCCGCGCGGGCCCACGCGGGGCGGCGCCACGAGCAAAGGCCCTCTGGCGCCGAGCGGCGGCCCGGCGAGGATCGAGGGTCGTGCCTCTGCGCTCGGGAGGATGCCTGGTCAGGAAATCTTTTGCCTGGAAATGCATAATGCCTGCAATATGTTCCGATGATATCTAATGGTCAATGAGCTCCGCAGATGACATCGGTAAGAAGGGATGGTACCGTCAAGCATACACTAAGGTAGCACTGAAAAGAGGAGGCCGGCCCGCCGGCCGACGCACGCGCGCGCGCCGCAGGCTCGCTCCTTTTCCGTCCCCCTAGAGCCAAAGAGTACAGCTGCGGGAGCAGAAGAAGTCAGTCAGTACAGCAGACGGACAGCGCGTGCAAGGAGAGAGAGAGAGAGCAGGCAGGGCGAAAGAATGGTGGTGCGGAAGGGGTGCATTGACTCAGGAGGGTGGCCCAGGAACCCACGAGTAACGAACGCACGGCGATGGAATTGGATAAAGGGCCCCTGGATCAGGACTCCAGGGTCTGGAAGCAGGTGGACCACCAATGGAGGCTTGACCGTGGACAGCACCGCCTCCGTCATCAGATAAGGGGTCCTCCAAGGTCTGAAACCTCCGGGCATACTCCTTAACCAACGCCACCGCCGTATCCATATCGACGCCCTCGCGGTCTGGATTCCCAAGCGCGATCCCGCGGGTGTGCGGTCGCACGGGTACGTGCCGCATGGCATTTCCGCGGCAAAAAAAAGCCCCTATCCGGGGGGTCGCGGCCCGGAGGCCCTGTCCGAAAGGCCGTGGATACGGATATGTCTTCCGCCAACGAAGATCGAAGAGGTTCGGGGAGGAAGAGAGGGAGGTCTCCCGTTCCTACACGTGCGCTTCCCAGCAGCAGTTGGCAGTCCAGGCCGTTTAAGCTGTGCACAGGGTGAGACGGCGCACGCGTGAACTGATTAACGTGGTGTGCTATCCCGTGAGCATGCAATACTCCCAAATTCTTGCGAGTCGTTTTTCATCTTGAAGGGCGTTCTGAGACGTGCCGCGCTATCGTCCTGTGCTGCTTTCCACGCGTGCAGTGAGACGCAGAGTCCGCCAGAAGCCGTGCAAGAAAGGGCCAGGGATCGAACACCAGCTACACGGGGTTGCATGTTCCTACCGCCGTTCATACTTGGCACAACAAGAAGAACAATCTCGCCGCCAGAGGCCCAACCAACACACCCACACACACACACACACAGCGTGCGCGTGCGCGTGCCTATCGAGAAAAGGGACAAGGAGGAACTAGAAGCAACCCCACAATTCTCCCAGCCCAGCCTACACCTGCAGAGGGAGAGGGAGGATGCTGCATTCACGACGCTTGGATGAACACTGCGGCTCCTTGTCCTCCTCTTTCGCTCGTCCTCCTCCGCGCAACTGCACACTATGAATGCTACCTGCTCTTGTCTCTCCCGGGATCCTGTGCGGACGGGCCAACTTTCCTCCCGCATGTTGCTTCCACGTGTGGTTTTTTGGAGAGGATAGGGCTGTCTCTTGTTTGTTTCGCGCCGCAGGGTTTGGCCTCTTTGCTCGCGCTGCAGCGTTGTTCCGCGCTTTGCTCCCGCCGTTCCGGGTGTGTCGCTCTCGCCCGGCGCGGGCCGCCTTTCTGGATCCGCGCTCTCCCTTGTCGTTGTCGCCCCCCCTCCTCTCCTCTCTCGCGCCTTCCCCTGGTACGTATTCCTTCTCCCCCCGCTCCTCCCACTCCCGCTCCCGAATCTGCTGCTGCTGTTACTCGCCCCTTCGCCTCCATCCCCATCCTCATCGTCGTCTTCCTCCTCCTCGTCCTCGTGGCGGTCGTCGTGCTCGTCGTCGTCCTCTTCGTCGTGCTCGTCGTCGTCGTCGCCGAGGGCCTCGCCTCCAGACTTCTCCTCTTCCTCCAGCCCATGTGGGGGGAGGGGCCCGGGACCGCTATGACAGCAGCCGGCGGGTGGAGAAAAACCAGCGCTGTCGAACGGGATGGGCGGGAGGGGTAGGATGTCGGATATGGCGCGAGCGCACCAAGCTTGTCGTTCTCCCTTCTCCCCCCCTCCTCCTCCTCCCCCTCCTCCACCTGTCACACTCCTCTCTCGCTCCCCTTGGCTCGCTCCTCCTCCTCCTCCTTCTCCTCCTCCTCCTCCTCCTCCTCCTCCTCTCCTTCCCTCGCCCCTCCCGCTCCTCCTGCCCTTCCTCTCCCGCTCCTCCCTCGCTCTCCTCCCGCCCCCTCCCTCGCTCCTCCCCCGCGGCCTCCTGCCTTCTCCCCCCCTCCGCGCCCGCCCCGCCTCCGCCCGCTTCCCTCCCCGCCCCTCCCCCCTCCAGGACCGCAGCGCCCCCGGCGACGGCGTCTCGGCCCCGCCCGCGGCCGCCCTCCCGCGCCCGGGCCGCCGCCCCCCCCCCCGGCAGGAGCGGGCCGGGCGGCCGTCTCCTTCAGCGTCCCGCTGCTCCGCTGCACCAGCTGGGGGCCGGGGGGGCTCCTCCTGAGCTCCTCCCGCCCGCTGCTCCTGCCGCTGCCGCTTCCCTCCCTCCCGGGCCCCCTCCTCTGCCCTCCCCCCTCCCCACTTCCTGCAGCCTCACCTCTTCTAGCTCTCTCGCCCTCTATCTTTATGTCCGTTGTTTTGGTATTGTTGTTGACGTCGTCGTGGTTGTTGGTGTTGCTGTTGTTGGTGATGATGATGCTGCTGTTGTTGTTGTTGTTGGTGGTGGTGGTGGTGGTGGTGTTGGTGTTGTTGTTGTTGTTGTTCTTGTTGTTGTCCTGGTTGCTGTTGTTGTTGTTGTTGTTGTTGTTGTCGTTGTTGTCGTTGCTGTTGTTGATGTTGTTGTTGTTGGGGTTGTCGTTGCTGTTGTTGTTGATGGTGGTGGTGGTGTTGGTGTGTGTGTGTCTCTCTCTCTATATATATATAGGTGTGTGTGTGTGTCTCTCTCTCTCTCTCTCTCTTTCTCTGTTTCTGTCTTCTCTATATAATTCGGTATCCCATTGCTTCTGTGATACATCTAGGAATGTAAAGATATCCCTCAAACTCTCTCTCTCTCTCTGTCTCAATATTTGTCCCGAAGACCCTACTTGTCTCTCTCTCTCTCTCTCTCTCTCTCTCTCTCTTGGTGTATAATTCTTTATGACTGATTATATGTCTAAGTCGCGTCTATCCCTTTCTGTTTCAATCGTAGGTGTATATGTATGTAGCCCAAATTATAGCTTCCATTGTTGTATTAAGTCTCTCTCCCTCCCTCGCCTCATGCCTACAAACGTGTGCATGCACGTATCCATACGACGCAACCTCTTGAGAGCTTATATACATATGCAGGCACACGCGGTGTCTAACATACGTTTGTGTATGTCTGTATTTACATACATGTCTGGCATGTTGTTTATCCTGCCTTGCTGACATAGGGTGCCCACCACGAACAATCCTGCGTCCTTGCTTCCCGCCTCCATCCGACCTCCATCAATTCTCTCTGCAGCGTCTTCTCTCCATCTTCCACCTTGCATCATGCAGGGGAGGAGGATGAGGAGGAGGAGGAAGAGGAGGAGGAGGAGGCGGAGGAGGAGGGGGAGGAGGAGGGGGAGGAGGGGGAGGAGGAGGAGGGGGAGGAGGAGAAGGAGGAGGAGGAGGTGGACCAGGAGGAGGAGACTTTGCTCCTCGCGCCGGGCCTTCGCCGAACTCGAAAATCGGGACCTCACGCAGGTCCCACGCCTGAGAAGGAGCACATCCTGGGGGAAGCCAACCGTCATGGGGGCTCGGGCACTCTGCAGAGGCATCCTAGAAGGGGTCCGAGTAGCCAGGCCCCATCGCGCTGTGAAAAAAGTCACGACGGCAATTTCTTCGCTATTTTCGGCCTCCGGGGGCCCTCACCGGGTCCTGGGACCATCAGAAAAACGACTCCGGACAGAAAAGCGGTTCCGGGGAAGGGGTCCAGACCTCTGGGGGTCGAGGTTGTGAAACATCACGCCGTCGGGGGTCTGGGCAGATGGGGTCGGAGAATCGCCCCGCCACGCAAATGCATCGCCGATGCATCGGCGACGCATCGGCGATGCTTCGGCGATGCTTCGGCGATGCATCGGCGACGTCGGCGCGGGGAAACTCACGGCTCCACATCGAGCCGCATCGTCGATGCATCGGCGACGGGGCGCGATCCGCCGACCCCATCTGCTCGGACCCCAACTAGGAGGCCTGCGGCTTTGGTGCTGGAAGGTCCCTGTGGGGCACGAAAGCACAAGTAGTTCTATACACCACGCGAAATGGCTAAGAAATCATGGGTTAAGAATTTCATGATCCCAGAACTTGGATAAGAACCCAAAATTTCTATCAAAATCTTAAGATTTACATTGAAACATTAAGAAGAATCGAGACCCTGGCCGAAAATTCAAGTTTTCTTAAGCATCGCCTAAGCTGTACACGCCCCCGCGCGAAAGCACACGACACGGCGGCGGGGCTCCGAGCGAGGGAGAGGCCTCTCCCGCTCAGCGCGACAGAGGAGACGGGCGGAAGCTGTTGCGCTGTACACCCTGCGAAATGCTTAAGAAATCATGGGTTAAGAAATTCATAGTCTCAGAAATGGAATAAAACCCAGAACTTCTATCAAAATCTTGGGATTTACATTGAAAAGTTAAGAATAATCGAGACTCTGGACGAAAACTTAGGTTTTCTTAAGCATCGCCTAAGGTCTACATCTGTCTTGACTGTGTGCTGGGCATCGGTCCGCCTGGGAAAATGTGCAAGCAAACAGGCGAAGACAGGCAGCAGCTGATGCTGAGTGGGCCGCCGCCAGGTGAGGAAGAGAAGCAGGAGGATGATTGAGGTGAGGAGGGAGGAAGCGGGAGGAGGGCAGGCGACCCGCGGAGCTGCAGTGCGATTGGCTCGGCCGCGCACGAGAAGCGAGCAGTGGGTGCCTCCTCCCTCCTCCCCATGCCTCCCGCGCCCCTCCCAACCTCAAAGGGGCGTTATGTTGTTGCATCGCCAGGGGGCCTTGGTCTGTTCCGTCGTGCCCCTATCCGCGTCGACTCCGCGTCGAATCCATGTCGGACTCGTCAGATCCGCGCCGAATCCGCGCACCTCCGCGTCGAATCCACGTCGAGTCCGCGGCGCAGCCGCGCCAAATCTGCGTCGCGTCCGCATCGAGCCCGCGCCGGGCACACGACAATGCGGCAACTTGGGGGGCGAGGCGATACCTCCCCGAAGATGCAACGTCCAGGGCCAGCGAGAGGCCCAGGGGAGCGGCTGCGGCGCCATGCTGCCCGAGCGGCGAGCGCGGTCTCTCGGCGCCCCCGTCCCCGTCGAGCGGCCGCTCCACGGAAACACGGACGCCCTGGCCTCGGCCTCACGGGTGGTGGTACCGAAGGAAGAAAAAGCAGCGTGAGCGTTGAACGTTCGGAGGTCCGCGCGGAGTCCTTGGATCTGCGCTGGATCCCCCCCCCTGGCGCGCGGAGCTGCAGCGCCGATCCAGGACATCCGCGCGGAGCTCGGACAGTTCATGATCAGGCGCCGCGTTCCCTCCTCGGGACGCGGAGCATGCGCGGCGTGGGCGGCGGGACCTCGCTGATGGGCTACCCGAACAGCGAATGCTGCCTCTCGGCGTCTCCGTCCCCGTCGAGCGGCCGCTCCACGGAAGCCCTGGTCTCGGCCTCGCAGGTGCTGATGCGGAACATGCGCGGCGTGGGTGGCGGGACCTCGCCGATGGGCTCCTCGTACAGCGAGTGCTGCCTCTCGGCGGCACCGTCCCCGCTCGGCGACTGTTCCCCGACGGCCCCAGCCTCGGCCTCGCAGGTGCTCATGCGGAATATGTGCGGCTGCCAGCGGCCCTGCTCCACCCTCCAGCTGGTCGTCCTTCTCCAGCCGTGCTGCAGTGCCCCCTCCAGCTGGGTGTCGAACTCGGTGTCGAGCCCAAGAGCGGCGCCGGCAGCTCGAGCCGCACTCTGCGAGCGCCGACGCGAGTTCTGCAGCGTCTCGTCCAGATCGGGCGACGAGGTCGAGTTCGGCGTCGAGTTCTCCGGCGTCTTGTCCAGGTCGGGTGTCGAACTCGGTCTTGTCGGCGGCGTAGGCGGCCCCGAACTATCGCCCGACCCCCAGGCCTGACAGGAGGAGGAGGAGGAGGAGGAGGAGGAGGAGGAGGATGAGGATGAGGAGGAGGAGGAGGAGGAGGAGGACAAGGAGGAGGAGGAGGAGCAGGAGGAGGAGGAGGAGGAGGAGGAGGAGAAGAGGAGGAGGAGGAGGAGAGGAGGAGGACGAGGAGGAGGAGGAGGAGAAGGAGGAGGAGAGGAGGAGGAGGCGGAGGGGGAGGATAAGGAGGCGGAGGAGGAGGCGAGGAGGAGGAGGAGGAGGACGAGGAGGAGGAAGAAGAGGAGGAGGAGGAGGAGCAGGAGGAGGAGGAGGAGGAGGAAGAGGAGGAGGAGGAGGAAGAGGAGGGGGAGGAGGAGGAGGGAGGAGGAGGAGGTGTGGGGGTGGTGGCGGGGGAGGAGGAGGAGGAGGAGGAGGAGGAGGAGGAGGAGGAGGAGGAGGAGGAGGAGGAGGAGGAGGAGGAGGAGGAGGAGGAGGAGGAGAAGGAGGAGGAGGGGTAGCAGGCAAGCTAGGTGCGCTCGCGTCATATCTGGCATCCTACCCCTTCCCTCCCATCCCTTACCATGGCGCAGATCCCCTCTCTACTCGCACAGTCGGATGTCGAGCAGGGCAATGATCGAGGCGAAGGAGGAGGAGGAGGAGGAGGAGGAGGAGGAGGAGGAGGAGGAGGAGGAGGGGTAGCAGGAGAAGAACGAGGAGGAGGAGGAAAGAACAGGAAGAGGAGGAGGAGGAGGAGGAGGAGGAGGAGGAGGAGGAGGAGGAGGAGGAGGAAGAGGATGACGAGGAGGAGGAGGAAGAGGAGGAGGAGAGAAGAAGAAGGAGGAGGGGAGTAGTAGGAGAAGCAGGAGCAGGAGGAGGAGGAGGAGGAGCAGGAGGAGGAGGAGCAGAAGCAGGAGCAGGAGGAGGAGGCACGTGTGCGTGTGCGTGTGCGTGTGCGTGTGCGTGTGCGTGTGTGTGTGTGTGTGTGTGTGTGTGTGTGTGTGTGTGTGTGTGTGTGTGTGTGTGTGTGTGTGTGTGTGTGTGTGTGTGTGTGTGTGTGTGTGTGTGTGCTTTCCGTGCACTGCGGTCCTAATTTGCATACAGCGCGTCCCCTGTTGTCTATCCGCCGAAGCAGTCGACCTCTGCACAGCCGCCGACGCAAAAAGTGTGCGTGTGTGCCTGGTCGCTTGGTCGTCCAGGGCCTCATCAGCGTGTCCAACTTCGACGGCAGCCAAGGCGATGAGACGGATCTGGTGATCCTCTGCACCACCCGCGCGAACTCCATCGGACAGTGGGGCTTCATCGACAACCCCCATCGCATCAATGTTGCCCTTACAAGGGCGACGCCGAAAAGAGTAGTCGTCATGCTAAACGCCCGAATGGCCGCCGATGCTACCGAGTCCCAATTACATCTCATTGCAGATTGGGCGGAAGCCGCCGGACTCTGGACCAGCTTCGAGGGTACCCCGGGCCAGCGCAACGCGCTCAATGAATCCGATAGCTTCTCACCTGCCGAAGTACGGGAGGCACCAATAGACACGCGCACACCGCTCCCATCCCAGGACGAGCAAGCTAAAAAAGAGCGCCGCAGTGACTACAGGAAGTCTCAGCGACTAGCCGAGCAGCGAGCCTTATGCTTTCAGACGCAGTGCGACTCCCCGCTCCCTCCAGGACACAGCTGGGAAAAGGCTGAGCGAGGAACTGTTGGAAACGGTCACGGTCCTGGGCGACGCTGCCCTGACACCGGTCTTGTACTACGTACATAGCCTGCACCCCCACATGTATGGCCCATGGGGACTCGCCAACAAATCACTACGAGAGTACCGGAAATTGGTCAGCCACGACGGCTACTTGTACGTACGACCACGAGCTGGGCATCGACGCCTCCAACCTCGTGTGCACAGCGGCCTGGGCAGGCCTAGTACACGTTGCCGGGCTCCACCCCAGCGCAGCTCCCGACCGAGCCATTGAAGAAGACCGCCTCCCCCCCCCCCTCACCGACCTCGAACCTCGACGGAACCGGGGCGCTGACCACCCCCCCCAAAGGCACAGCCAGACCCCCCCCCCGCGGTAGGGAGCGCTAGCACACACGCGAGTGCGCTCGCTAGCAGGGCGCCCCTGCGCTGCGCCACCTCGCGGCCATCACCGATCAGCAGGAGCGGCCGGTCGAGGGGCCCTGCAGCCTGCTCCAGGATAGCAGCGGGGCTACCATCCAGCGCACAAGGGCGAACACCACCCTGGTGCTGATGCTCCTCCTCCCAGGCCCAACCTGGCGCCCTGCGGTCGCCCCAGCTACATTGGCGATGTCCTCGAGGCCACGCTGGGTACCTCCCTCCCCATACAACCACGCGCGCCTGCCAGTGCGGGACAGCTTTGGCCGGGCTCGCAACCTCGTGGACGCTGATTTCCGCAGGATCCACGGGCGCCTGGAGGCTTCCATCAAGGCGTGCTCCAGGCTGGTCACCGCGGCGCATCGCCATCCTAACGTGCAGGGGGAGGCCGGCCGGCGTGCCATGGAGCGACGCCTCCCACGGGCACTTCCCGCCGAAGCCCACTCCGAAGGCCCCAGCCCCACTCGTCCCCCGGCGGGCCTCTCTCGCCGTCAGGCCCCCAGCTGCGCCGTGAGAATCGGCGGGTTTGGAGGATGTATTGGGCGCCGCGGCCGCTCCAGAGCGTTCCGGAACGCTGAGAGCGCTCCGGAACGCTCTGGAGCGATTTATCCCGATCTATAGCCCTGTTTTAACTGTACCTGGGGGGTGGGCTGTCTGGGGCGGGAAAGGACCTCGTCGCCTCCCCCCCGACCGGCGCCCCGCCCGGAGCCGCCCTCTCTCCCCCCAGCATCAGCTGGGGAGACGATCGCCTCAAGCCGAACACGAGGAACCCCCGCGTCTGCTGCGACCAGTGCGGGGAGGCCCCCCTTCCACCCCCAGAAGGATACCGGAGGGGCCTGGGTGGGCTCTGCAGTCAGGAAGATGGTTGCCGCCAGCCGCCAGCAGTTCCACCGCCACGGGGTGGATTGTCGCTGGCACTGCTCTGGGCGTTGGCACGCAGACCTGTCAGTCAAAGGACTGCCCTGGCCAGCCGACGGCAGGATGGCGGCGCACCTCGACGCTCTTGATCCCCAACTGGCCTGCGCTGCCCCGCAGGGCCGCTGCGTGGGCCCCCCCCCCACTGTCCCTCCCGAAACAAAAAAAGCCCTCTGGCAGACCTCCTGCTGGCCCCGACGGGCCTGCATGACCCCGCGCACGCACGTACCGCCATTCCTGGATTCCGCACCATAGACGACAGGCTTGGCAGGAATCTCAGGTACGACCTCTGGAAGTGCCAATGCGATCGCTGCCCTAACGACGTTCCAATGAAGCAGTTGCCCTGCGGAGACGCCCCCCCCAGGGCGCGTTCATCTTCCGTCCCAGGAAGGACATGCAGCTGCACCTGCTTCACGGCCTTCCGCCACCCAGCGAGCGTGCGCAAGCCTTCGCCAACATGCAGTGGAACGCAACCGGGTTCTGTGATGACTGCCTCATTGCATCTGTGGGATGTTCGCCCATGTCAGGTCAGGTTCATCCTCGATGGGGGCGGGCGCGCCCCGTTCCCCAAAGCGGCGCCCGAAAGAGACAGGGAATCGCCCCTTCCGGCGCCGAGGACCTCACAACTATACTGCGGCGCCGCAATGGACGGCCGCCGCCGCCCAACGACGACCCGCAATCAGACCCGCCAGGGGCCTGGGCCACCGAGCCGAAGACGGAGGCCTCCCAGCAGGGAGCGAGGGCCGCGGGCGCTCCGCCCCGCGCGCCTCGCGTCGGCGGCGCCCCAGATCCCGGCCAGCCCGGCGGCGGCCCCGCGGCCTGGAAGCACACGGACTGGGCAGCGCCGACGGACCACCCGGGAGCAGGTCCACTTCGGGAGCGCTCTCCCGCCGCTCCCCCGGCGGCCGGGAGGCAGCCCCGCGCGCGCCCCTCACCAGCGGCGGCCCCGGCGCCTCGTGCCGATCCTCTGCGCGTCGGGGCAGGGCGGCGTCGGGCCGCCGCCCGAAAGACCCGCGCCAACCCCCGCGCCAGGACGCGTCCCACAGCCGAGCAGGTCAGCCCCAGCAACAAGGGCAAGCGGCGGTGCGCAGACGGAGAAGGCAACGGACCTTGCTCGGCCCCCCGCCAGCCTCCTGGACGGACTCCCCAGCGTCAACCCGCCGACCTGCCCCCGCCTGAGCGTGAGAGATATTGCTACCCTGCGGGCGGCCAGGCACATCCATCCTGACAAGACGCGTGGAAGTGCTGACAACGCAATCGCGCACGTCATGGTGGCGTTTGCCCGGTCAGTCTCTCCAGAGGTAGACGAGCGCTGGAGGCCCTGGACGGCGAACAACGTCGCCTCCTCGCTGCGCGAGGCCAGGAGAGGCATGGGGCCTCCCTCTGACCCGAGAGCCTGGCCCGAAGCGTGCTGCCAGGGATTCCTGGCCTCCGTCCACGGCGACCCCATCCCGCCGTCTGGCGTCCACCCAGGAGTCCAATGGGACGGTGAGCGCGCCACCTTGGCCCTGTTGGTCAACCACCTGCATCGCCGGGGCTCCCAAGCCCCTATCAGTTCGCAGAAGGAACCCGACAAATGGGATGCTTACCGCAACAAGCACGACCCACAAGCGTCAGAGAAGGGACGAGACCCTGCGTGGCACGGCCAAAATATCCTGCTCGGCTACCTGGGCTCGAGGGGGAAAACGTCGTTCCAGCGCCCGCTGGTGCGGGGTGACCGGGCAACGGCGGTGAAGAAGAGGCCCACCCTCACAGAAGCCACCCTCGATGCTCCCCCGCAGACGACAGCTGGCCGCCCCCTCGGACGCGAGTCCAATGAAGAGCTGTGTGCCCAGCGGCTCAGCGGCAACGCCTTGCGCGCAGAGCAGCTGGGATTGCCGCCCCCCCCAGCGCCTCCGCGGCCAGTTCCTGATCGGCTAGCCCCCAGCCCATCCCCCACCTCCTCGGGGCCCGGGGCGGCGCCAGCCCGCACCAGAAGCAAAGGTGCACGTCCGTCTGAGTCGTCAGGAGA